GTTTGAACATGATTGGAATTTGGAAACCTTCAGGTCAATGATCATTGATCTCATCCTCACGTCACCTGATTATGTCATGACGTCATCCATGGACTACATTGTACTGGTTCGGCGGTTGTGTTTGCCGCTCGGCATGCAGTTGGCACTGGTCTCGGAGACATCATGTGACCTGGCCAGCATACATACATGCATGGACCAGGTACTGTGCCCAATGCTGCACAGCCTCAGTCATGTACATGCACCGCGGGTACATGAAACAGTCTCTGGAGATCGCACGCGAATGCAGTGCGGAGAAACTCTACTAGATACTGATCTACGGGTAGCCATGGTAACCATGGTAACCATGGTCACAACAGACTCAGCAGTATTGTTCTGATACGTGTGTTACTGCGGTCGTGGGTGCTTTAACGTTTGCGTGCGCCAGTATCGCAGCTGCAGGCGCATAGTGCGCCAGTATCGTAGCTGCAGGCGCATAGTGCGGCACGGGCCGATTGCATTATCCCTCGCAGCAAACGGTGGCTTGGATGCACGACGTCACGCGCGCCGTCCGGTCGGTCGGAACTCGTGTGGCCCTCGTAGATGTATGTACAACACACACACACACACACACACACACACACACACACACACACACACACAAGCTACCGGCCGGTTGGGCGGAGAGGCCCGACTGCGGCTCGAGGACTCGCGGCGCTTCGGGGCACGCTCGGTGCGCAGGACACCAACAACCCACGCACCCCATGCGCACGATAACACCCGAAGGCGCAGAGCTCCTCCGTACTGCTCCAGGACGTCATGGGCATATGCCTAGGGTTGTGCAGAGCTCCTCCGTACTGCTCGGGCACAGCCTGCTCATGACAACACCAAATATGTGGAGATCTGTATTGCTCAAGGACCCCATGCGCACGGGCATGTGCCCAGGATTGTGCAGAGCTCAGCCTCAGTACTCCTCGTCGTCGTCATCATCATCCCCGCCACCATCATCACCATGTGTAGCACCATTACCACCAGTGGTCGAGGCAGCATCTACTTCGATGCAACGGTTACCCTTTAAGGTTCCAAACGGGTACTTGGCCTAACGGGCGGGTTATCGGGTACCCTTTAGCCGCCAAAAGTAACAGTTACTGTACAATAGCCTTTCTCATTTCGTGCCAGGAGGACATGCAAAGTCATGCAATTCACAGCAAAAACACTGCATCGTGACGAGCGCAGTAAGTGCAAAACAGTCAAAATTGTCATATGAAGCAAGATCAATCAACCAACAACACATTCAAACTGTACATCGAACTGTACGACCGTCCAAGCCAGCTAATAAACCCGTACTGTGCCGTCGTTCATGACTAACGGGTACTCGTTTGCTAACGAATCAGCAGCTAAACAGACGGGTACCCGGATCACCCCTTTCACCCCTATTCAATTCATCCTCCTCCTCTCCGCAGCACTGCTGAAGTATACCATGCGCACGACAACGCTGAATATGCAGAGCTGAACCGTACTGCTCAAGGGCTCCATGCTCATAACAAACACCGAATGTGTGGAGCTCTGTTTTGCTCTAGGACCCGATGCGCACCAGAGCACCAACTTGATTTGCAGAGCTCCTCCATATAATACTGCTTGAGGGCTCCGAGAACGCTAAATGTTCAGAGCTCCTCCGTACTGCTTGGGGACCCGATGCCCGAAACAACACCGAACTTGCACAGCTCCTACATAGTGCGCGAGGACCCGATGCGCACGAGAACACCAAATGTGCGGAGCCTCCTACCGCTTTACGACTCACTGGGTGTCAGCCAGCCAGCAGAATTTGCAGAACTCCCGAGCCATCGTCTGGTGGCTCGCTGTACTTAACCATACTGGATATGCAGAACTTCTATGATCTGTGGGCTCACTGTGGTTAATTCGTTGAGTGTGGCTGTTGAACTGTTCGTGCTGTGATCTGCAAGCGTCGTGTGGTCTCGTCGGGTCAAATGAAAAAAACCTATTACCTATACATACTGAATGTGAAACATTCCTATGGTCTGTGGGCTTACTTGGGTTGACCATACTGGATGTTCAGAACTCCTGTAGGCCGAGGACCAGCGACCCCTGCACGTGCTGGGTTGAGTGTGCAGGATTCCCGAAGTCTGCGTACTCGCAGCGCTCAGACACCCTTTTAACCTTGTGTGTGTGTGTGTGTGTGTGCGCGTGCGTGTGTGCGCGTGCGTGTGTGTGTGTGTGTGTGTGCATGGTGCAGTGGTATGTGCAGTCGATTTCCAGTCGATTTCTAATCGAGAGGTTGCGGGTTCAATTCCCGACTATTATGGTCACACCCGTCTTTCTTCACTTTCTGAGACTCGTGACATTTCTTTCACTCTCCTCGGTGGCAACAGCCAGTGTATGCCGGAGTATGTGGTGTGGTTTGTGTGTAAAAACTGCGAAACTAGAGATAGCCCTCGAGGCTTCCAAGATTTTTAGGCATACGTTTGTAATCGGCTGGCTCTATTCCGGCCTGAATTTTGGCATAACAAACTACGGTAAAAAAAAGAGGACGATAAGTTTACAAAATTTGAACTCGGATACTGAGCCAATATTAAATGTAAAAAAGAGAAGAAAACACCTGAGAACCATGACCCTTCCAAGTTGGAATGCTGTTGGTTTGCGCACTGGAGATGTGTTAGAGCTAGGTCTCAGGTCGCTGAATGTCTCAGCCTGTCAGTTTTGTGCCCTACTGTAAGACATGTATATATAACGAGGAAGCAAATCTAACGTTTTAACGGATGACATTTCTTCGTTATAAGATCCGTTGAGGCCGTACTGCTTCATATATGCTGTGTGTGGATATGGCAGAATACTGCAAGATCGTTAACATATCTTCTCGTTAACCTATGAATTTTGGACAATCGTTAAATTTGCGACTCGGTATAATAATATGTCTTACAGTATTATCGCACGTTCCGACTCTTTATCAACTTGTTACAGCCGTGGATAGTTGCTGCATAGTTTGTTCTCATGTGTTTTCTTCTTTTTAATACACAAGGCGAGACAAAAAAATAGAGATTCCCGGGCCCTCACGCACCAAAATCGAGCCAAAGCCAATTTTTTTTTTGAACAGTTCATACTTCGAAGTACATGATTGTACAGTACTGATCGTGTGAGTAGATCTGTGACGTGGAGCCACACAAACCCGAGCGTGTAAGTAAGTTGTACGACACCCAGATGTACAGATCAGGGCCATCGTTGGCCGAAATAAAGAAAAATTGAACGGGTAAACCGCGAACTGTACCTGTTTTCTGTAAAAAAATTGAATAAAAATTACCGGAAAATGCTGTAAAAAAAGTTCAACATGGCATGGCACACACATATTATAGTCATGTACATACAAGGGAAAAAAATAAAATGTGCCCACCCGCACCAATTTCACATGGGTCCTGCCCGGGAATCTCGATTTTATTTTGGTCTCGCCTACATAAGTTTACAAGTTATCCGTTTTGTCCAACATTAACGATTACCGGTATAAGCAGTGTGGTTTCTAACTAACTTGTGTCGTTAGTGTTGGACAAAACGGATAACTTGTAAACTCATGGTCCTCTTTTTTTAAATTTTTTTAATCCTTGGCTCTCCAAAATTACTTCAAAGTAAGTGGATGTTTATACAGTGCTGGCAACTGAAATCCGACCCCCTAGCGTCTCGTACGAATCGCTAACGCAGCTAGCGCACCGCTGGGGGGGGGGGGGGGTCGGATTTCAGTTGCCAGCACGGTACATGTATACAGTGGTTTCACATCACTCATCAGTTAGTCATGTGACTAAATTTGGTGCAGAAAGTGATCTTGTCACGTGGCCGGTGGGACCAACATGGCCGACAACATGCAGGGGCATCGGAAGGTATTTTAGTGTGGTACGGTCAGCCATCTGAAGTACAGTTTACTCGAGGGGGAGGGGCGGCTGAGCCGAAAGTTTGGAAATTTTAGAGCCCAGATGAGTGTATTTTATTGATTCACGGGGTGACTGAGGCAAAATGTGGTACGGTCAATACCGTAGTGACAGTACCGTGGCCGACGTCCCTGCATGGTGATCCATAGATGCGGCCCCGATCATGCAGGAGGTTGAGTGAAGTTGCAACCAACATAGCTGTCCCATATTATGGTCATGTGATAGATGAGAAACAACTCTATTCAGTCGCTAGCTAATCCTCCCCGACACTGGTAACTTGCACACACACGCACACGCACACACACGCACACACAGGGCAGGTACGCCCCAACACGATCAGATCACACAAGGTGGAGGGGGAAATGTGCCGAGCGTACATTAGGGCTACTAGAAGCGGAGAACAGAACGCACTTAGCGATACGCGGCAAGAAGGAGACGCCTGAAACGTCTCTATGAAGCAAACATGGCAAACACATTAAGGGGGGGAGGGAGGGAGGGAGGGGCATGCAAATATTCAAATCCACTGCAGTGGTAATATCATAACAAGCAACTGAGCAAAAAAAAAAGGACAACACGATTACCGCGGTTACAATATTGGAAAAAAGGCGTGATAAAAAGCTGCTGGGAGGTCTGCTGTAGATCGCGGAAGCGGGTTGCGATTACGAGCAGTGCGTCTTTGACGAAAGAAGTCGGACAAAATTGGATATTAAAAAAAAACAAAACAAAAAAAAGGTTGCACAAAGTCGCCACAGTCCTGCTGGGGGTTGGCTGGTAAACTGGAAAGTATTTTAGTGCGACGGGCAAGTCACAGGGTACGCACACACACACACACACACACACACACACACACACACACACACACACACACACACACACACACACACACACACATACATACACACACATACATACACACACATACACACACACATACCTCAGACCTCAGACATGCCCATCGCGGAAGCGATGATAGCGAACAGCTATGTTAGACATAGCCACTTGTGCTGGGATACACACATACACACACACACACACACACACACACACACGCGCGCGCGCACACACGTGGACATGCTAGAGCAATGCAGACAT